ACTCAAAGAAATTTACAGATTAAATGTTATTCCTATCAAACAATCAATAACATTCTTTGAAAAACTAGAAAAACAATTTTAAAATTCCTGTGCAACCAAAAAAGAGCCTGAATAGCCAAAGCAATTCTAAGCAAAATGGACAAAGCTAGAAACATCACATATCTGACTTCAAACTATTTTACAAGGTTACAGTAACCAAAACAGCATACCACTGGTACAAAAACAGACACATAGACCATTGGAACAGAATAGAGAGCCCAGTAATAATGTCATACACCTATAATTATCTGATCTTTGACAAAGCCAACAAAAACAAGTGATGGAGAAAGGACTTCCTATTCAATAAATGGGGCTGGGTTAACTGGCTAGCCATATGCAGAATATTGAAACTGGACCACTTCCTCATGCCATATACAAAAATTAACTCAAGATGTACTAAAGACTTAAATGTAAAACTATAAAAACCCTGGAAGATAACCTAGGAAATATCATTCTACACGTAGACCCTGGCAAAGATTTCACAATAAAGATGCCAAAAGCAATTGCAACACAAACAAAAATTGACAAATAGAACCTAATTAAACTAAAGAGCTTCTGCACGGCAAAAGAAACTATCAACAGAGCAAATGAACAACTTACAGAATGGGAAAAAATACTTGCAAACTATGCATCTAACAAAGGTCTAATATCCAAAATCTATAGAGAACTTAAATTAACAAGCAAAAAAACAACAACCACATTAAAAAGTAAGCAAAGGACATGAACAGACACTTTTCAAAAGAAGACATACCCATGGCCAACAACCATATGAAAAAGTATGCAACATCAATCATCATTAGAGAAATGCATATCAAAACTTCAGTGAGATACCATCACATATTAGTCAGAATGGCTATTGTTAAGAAGTCAAAAAGTAAAAGATGCTGGTAAGATTTCAGAGAAAAGGGAACATGTATACACTGCTAGTGGGAATGTAAATTAGATCAGTCATTGTAGAAAGCAGTATGGCAATTTCTCAAAGAACTTAAAAGAGAATTACCCATTTGACCCAGCAATCCCGTTATAGGGCATATACCCAAAGGGATATAAATTGTTCTACCATAAAGACACATGCACTGATATGTTTATTGAAGCAACTAGTCACAGTAGCAAAGACATGGAATCAGCCTAAATATCTATGAATGGCACACTGCATGAAGAAATGTGGTATATATACCCATGTAAATGGAATACTCTGCAGCCATAAAAAAAAAAAAAAAAAAAAAAAAAAATCGTGTCCTTTGCAGCAACATGGATGGAGCTGGAGGCCATTATTCTAAGCAAACTGAAGCAGGAACAGAAAACAAAATACTGCATATTCTCACTTATAACGCTGAGGACATACGGACACTGGGGTCTACTTGTGGATGGAGGGAGGGAGGAGGGTGAGGATAAAAAAAATAACAAAATAATCTATGCACCAAATCCCTGTGATGCACAGTTACTCCTGCACATATTATTCCTGAACCCAAAATAAAAGATTTTTAAAATGTGTGCTGGTGTCTGCGTATGTGTATATACATGGGCAAATTACAAACAATTCATGTTTTGCTTTAAAAAGTAATATATAAAGTTGGTATAGGCTCTTAGTCATTTCTACAAAATATAGTAAATAATTCAAAGAAATAACACTTTTAAACTTTAAAAAAATAAATAAATAAAAATAGAAACACATAGCATATATATGCATATGCATAGGAATATAAATACAATCCACTTCCCAGCAATTCCAGTTTGAATCTACTCCCATAGAAAGAAAACACCAGGATGTAGAGAATGTTTATTGTTACATTGCCTTTAGTGGCAAAAACTGGAACCAAATGTTTATTTTCATGAATAGGGAATTGAATGTATAAATTATGCTGTATCCATAACATAGGAATAATATTTAGCCATTGAAAAAAATGAGTTAAATCTATACCTGTTGACTCTGAAACAGCTGGGCGATGTTTAGAGTGAGAAAAACAAAATGTAGACAACAATGAAAGTCCTATATTTGCATTTACATGTGTGCATATTACTTATGTTTGTATTTCTATCTAGAGAGTATTAAAGAGTCTGGACAAATAAGGAAGGATTTATACTCCATTTTTAACAGGATTTACTTTAAGATGGGTGGTTCTGTGTTGGGTGTCAAGGAAGATGTTCAGTGAAAAGAGGAACCAAGGAGGGGAAAGGATAAGAAAACAAAAGAATATCAACTCTTGGAGGGAAATAGCATGAATAGAATTTTATCTACACATTTGGGCAAAGTTGTAGGGGGGAAATTCATTACTTTATAGATGGGTGATGCTAGATAAGATCTCTCCTCATATCATGGGTATGAACCAAAAACACCTTCTGCTACTGTATAGCTGAGGCTTTCTTTTCTCAATTGTGAACCCATCAAACCATCATGAATATGCTTTTTTTTTTTTTTAAGAAGAGAAACTAACTTTGACAAGTCCTAAGTACTCCTAAGATATGGCTACCAGCTATGAAAAACCCAGAGCAGAAAGGAAAGCAACCCAAGCCAGATTCATCAACACACCACGGTGCAAATACCCCTACCCGAAGGCCAGGGTAAGGAATGTAGTTGTCCCAGTGCCTGGCACCAGTTCCACAATTTGAAGTGGCCTTGGACTGGGACACAGGCCTCAGAGTTAGCCCCGAAGCTGTGCAGGATGGAAACGGGGAGGGAAGGCGGGCTTACCTGCGCTTCAGTCCCTATGCAAACCTGAAAGGGGAACAGAGAGAAGAACTCCTGATGCCACCCTGGCCGGCTCTGACCTGTAGGTTCATAGGTGGGCAGTCACTGTGGGACTTTAAGCAGAGTGACAAGGTTTGACTTATAAAACTTTCCCCTGAAATATTCACCTTTTTTCCTCAACTTTTTCCCATCCTAACTCATTCTTCAGGCTTCTTTGTGGATGAGATTTTCTTCCATTTGTGTGGATACCCCTCATTGTCTGGGTTAGGTGGCCTGTCTCTTCTCCCCTCACTCAAGGCTTAGTCCCTTTGGTCATCATAAGATGCCCCTTTTGTCTAGTTAATTGCTGCTTCTTTCTCTTTCACCTGTAAGTGCTCGTTCACCCCCAAACTCAGTGCCCAGCACAGTACCTACTTCAAAATATCAACTTGCTGTACTAATGGAGGCTAAATGGATCAATGTTTATACTTTTTAGCTATTTCATATTTATTTTATATTTAGCTTTTATTACATATTACATATTTAGATTTTATTAGATTAGCTTTCTTTTTCTCCCCTAACCACTGAGTAAAGTTTCTTTTGAAAACATCAACCTGGCTCCAATGGACAGGGAGAAAGAAGAAAAGATAACGTTAAATAGCTTGGAAGGAAAATTAAAGATAGAGAAAGCCTCTCTCTCTCTCTCTCTCTCTCTCTCTCTCTCTCTCTCTCTCTCTCTCTCTATCTCTCTCTCTCTCTCTCATCTCTATCTCTATCTCTCCCGCCCCCGCCCCGTTTCCCTTTTCCTTCCTCTCTCTATCAGCTCTTTGAGATGGTGGAGGCCACAAGGAGAGATCCAAGGTGGAGGAGGCGTTCCGTTCCACAAAGAAGACCTCCTCCTGTGCAGCGGCTCCAAATACAGCGGCGCCGTTCTCTTCAAGGCATCCCTGGAGTTTTCTATACAGTGTTTACGGGTGCCTAGGAGAACCTGGCAAAGCAAGGTGCGGTTCGTATATACGCTAAAATCCCATGCTCTGACAAAACCACAGTGAACCGGCAGATTCCCCGCCCCGGCGTGGGATCCAAATTTAGCCCGGCATTAAGTGTGCAGTACATTTCCCAGCTTTAAAGCCTTCCCAAGAGATGCTTTGCGCGCTCGCGGTACCAGTGCGTAAACGCCGCTCCCGGGACGGCGCGAGCTTGCGCCAACTCCAACCTGCGCGCGAGTCTTTACTGCCCGTCCGCGCTCGCGTCCCACAGCTCCGAGTCCCCGCAGTGAAAGGAGGGGACAGGCACAAGGGTGGATGGGCCTTGAGGACTCGCGGGATTCAGTTTTCCCCGGAACTCGAAAGGCCTGTAGCAGTCTGGCGGGAACACGCTGCGGAGCTCGGCCCCCATCGGCTTCTCCAAAAGGGATCAGACGGACTGTAGAGTCCTTCCCCTGCCTCCTCCCACTGTCTGGCACCAGTTCTACCGTTTAAAGTGGTCTTGGACTGATATACGAGGCCTCAACATCAGAAGAGGGAAAGGCAGGATGGAGATGGGGAGAGAGGGCGGGCTGACCTGTCCTCCAGCCCCTATGCAAACCTGGAAGGGGAACAGGGAGAAGAACCACTGATGCCACCCCCAGCCCGGCTCTGGGCTGCCAGGTCCCCTGGAGGCAAACGCAGCGCCGCAGTGGATGCTGGCGGAGAGCCCAGAGCCGCGCGTCTGCGCGGCATGTTGCCTGAGTGTGGCTCCTGCGCTCATCAAGCTTCGCAGGGAGCTCAACCCCGTCCCCAGTGCTTGCGCAGAGGCTCCTCCAGAGGCGTCAGATGGAGGGCTCAAATGGAGCTTCTGGAACGAGGGGCCACGTCACCAGGGTGGCTGAGGAAAGTGTCCTCAAAGCTTAGAGTCTGTCACTTCCCAGGGGAATCGGCTCGCCCGGGAAAGGATAGATGTTTTGCGGGAGTGTTTCCTAAACGCAATCTCAGGAAAGTTGTTTTCGGGACACCTGGACCAGGGAGTCGTCGCCTCTCGCCTCTCTGTAGCTGGAGCGAGGCCCGGAGCGCAGCGCTGGCACGTCGCCCCCACACTTGCCGGTTTCCCATTGCCACAGGCAGGCCTCCTCTGCAGAGCTGTCGCAGGGCTTTCGCAGGGCTCTGGGCTTCCCTCCCTGGAAGCCCGCTCCAGCTGTTTCCCAAATCCTTCCTTCCCCTCCAACACCTCTAGGGCGACCGCGATTCCAGCTGCAGACGGCATCTGTCTCAGTTACTTCCAGGCCGCCTACTGCCCCCTCGCGGAGTGCGTGGGGCCCCCGGCTCACAGACTCCCACGGCAAGTAGCAAGTAGCAAAAGGCGTGGTAGCTGCGGCGGAGTGAGACAGTTGCCAACAGCTGGCGCAGCTGCCGCGCTGCCCACCGGGACTGGCGAGTACGCAGCCCCAGGTACTGCCCCTTCCCCGTGACGTCTCTGCAGCGGGTTATAAAAGCCTCGTGCGCAGCTAACTCCAGAGCTGAGCAACCCGAATGGAAAGGTGCCCGCGAAACTGCAGGAGGCTGCAGCGGCAGCAGAAGCGAAGGAAAAAATCTCCAGCTGGACACGGAGCTACAGAATCCTGGCCATAGACTCAGAACTTTTACAGGTCGCGCTGCAGTGGGCCCCCACTTCGCTCCTAAATCCTCACGCAGCACAGGACTTTGCCTTTCCCGGCGCACGAAGGGGAAATAGGAGTTGCAGGCAGCAGCAGGTGCATAAAGGCGGGGGTCTCTTGGTTCCTAGAACCGTGACCAGTGGAATTTCTTTCCCTTTTTCAGTTTAATTCAAGAAAGATGCTGTCTCCAGACTTCTGAACTCAAATGCCTCCTAAGGCTTGAAAGTGGAGGAATTCAGAGACACCGCGGCCAGGCAGGCAGTGCATCCAGAAGCGTTTATATTGTGAGCGCCAGTTCAGCTTTCGAAAAGAGTGCTGCCCAGAAAAAGCCTTCCACCCTCCTGTCTGGCTTAAACAGGACCAGGCGCCAGCTACAGGACTCTGCTGCAGAGCGGGTGGTGTGTACAGATAGTAGGGCTTTAACGCCTAGCTTCGAAATGGATAACGTCCTCCCGGTGGACTCAGACCTCTCTCCAAACATCTCCACCAACACCTCGGAACCCAATCAGTTCGTGCAACCAGCCTGGCAAATTGTCCTTTGGGCAGCTGCCTACACGGTCATCGTGGTGACTTCTGTAGTGGGCAACGTGGTAGTGATGTGGATCATCTTGGCCCACAAAAGAATGAGGACAGTGACCAACTATTTCCTGGTGAACCTAGCCTTCGCGGAGGCCTCCATGGCTGCATTCAATACAGTGGTGAACTTCACCTATGCTGTCCACAACGAATGGTACTACGGCCTGTTCTACTGCAAGTTCCACAACTTCTTTCCCATCGCTGCTGTCTTCGCCAGTATCTACTCCATGACGGCTGTGGCCTTTGATAGGTGAGGTTAGCCCTTGTGAAAAGGCAAGAAAGTGCTCCTAGATGACCATGGCATTGCTATGAGGTTTGGGGCTGGATTATGGGTCCAGGGGAAGATTAGCTACCTGTGTTCTGAGGATTTTTTAAACTGATAGTCAACTGAGTCTGTTGTTGATAGGGAACTTCATCTTATCTAGTTCAAGTTTTTTCTCCTCTTTTTTACCCATCACTAATCTCCCTTCCTTTCAACACACACCCCCTTTTTCTTCATTTAAGTCCCCTTTTCATCTCTTCTCCACTCATCTGCCTGACACTTTCAACTTCTGCTTTGCTCCTTTCCATATGTTCCTTCTCCCCTTTACCCTTAGACAATACCTAGGGCTTGGTCAAAGGACTAGACCCTGGATGGGGCTTTGCAAATTCCTCCAGCCCTCTTATTATATCAGACAGCCTCTTGTTGCCTTCGTGTTTTAAGTACACCTAGAAGATTCTGGGACTTTCTGCTCCTACTGCAACTCTCCGTTTTGTTTTTTTTTTTTTTTTTTTTTTAATGTGAAAGATCATTTCATCAGTATCATAAGACACTCAGAATTCTAATTCAGTTTACTCTGCTGATGCTAGGAATTCCACAGGTAGAGATCCAGGGAGCTTACCCAAGAGGCTTTCTAAATTTCTCCTGCAATGTAAAATTTATGTGTTTAGCTTGTCCCTATTCACGGAGAAACATGCTTGGCAAAGGCATTCCAGAGGTCTTCCTTTCCTGCAACCAACAGGTTAGGGTTTCTGAAGCTGATTGAAAGTGAAAAGGCTGGCATTTTCAAACACTGGGGCTGGTATTCTGGAATGAATGGCTCTTCAGGCAGCAGGATGGAAAATTGATTATTGAAGCACAGGTCTATTGGTATTATCTCTTTTGTGAGTATCTTAGATCTCCAGTGTGTATGTCTCTGTGTGCACAGGGGTTAAATGTTTACCTGCCATGTGAAAATATGTTAAAACACCTACCACTGTGATTTAAAAATGGATTCTTTTGATGTTCTTCCTGAAATAACTGAATGCGAGAAACCCAAAGAAGAGCTAGGAGAAAACTTCAAAAATATTTCCAAACAACTAACCCTCTTTGCATAAAAATTGTTTATAACTTGCAATTTATTTGAAGTCTTTTTCAGCTTCTGTAGTCAATGAACACTTTTAAAATCAGGGAAATCTTCTTTTCCATCCTTTGCAGTGGTGTCCAAATGCTGATTTATTAGTTCCATGTACATCTCTCTTGTGCTTACTATATTGTGTGTAAAGCAGCTCTTATGTGCTTACTATGCTGTGTGCAAAGCAAATTGTGGAAAATCAGTTTAGATTTTAAATGTAGTTGGTAAACCAATTGCTCAAAGTGGCAGTGAAATGAATTATTTTGCAAATTTATCTTATGTGCTACACTGATTTTCAAATATTTGATTTGCTGATAGTGAGGTACACCTGTAAATCTTTCTGCATTGACATGCTCCTTTAATCTCACGACAGCTTCCTTAAACTTAAAGAAGCCAATAGCATGATATATAAGTGAATATCAGGGTAGTGAAACCTGATGCTATTTCAGCCTTACACAAACTCTCATGATGCTCCCTAAATTAGAGAAGAAGATTTTGGGGTTTTTTCTTTTTTCATTTTTTTTCACTGCACTGGGGATTTGACCAAGGAATACGTGTCAGTCAGTGTGAGCTGGAACATTCAGTAGCTGATGGAGCACCAGCAGACAGCTCTCTCTCCTTTTGGCTTACACAGAAACATGTTCTGCAGCCCTGATGTTTCCTCTGGAACTTAGAAGTTTAGGGGTGGGCATCAGAGTCAGAGTATTCACAGTGAATTGGGCAGAGAGCCAGACTTCAACTCCATTGTTGTTTTTCTCTAGGTAACCATCTCAGAGCCCTGACCCTCTGTGATACTTGCTCAGTCAAATCAAAAGGTCTCAGGTGCCAGAGCTCTAGGAAATGACAGCATCAGGGAATGTCACCATGTTTCCAACATACAAATACAGCCCAGGGAGGTTATCAATGGCATGCTCAAGATTAGAATTCAACGTAGAATTAGGGATGAGACTTCAGGTCTCTGTCTCCACGTCTGCCAAGTGCTCCTTCTGTTTTTCCTTGCTCAGCCTGGTGGGCACACTATAAACTCATCCCCTCGGGTCCTCTGATGAATGTATTTCCTGCAGGTGTAGTCATCCATTCTCTCCCAAGAATGGGTTAGAAAGAAAGGAGACTTTAAGTTCTCTCCCTGTAAGTTATCTCTCCTTTCTCTAGCATGGAAATGCAGACTTAGAGGAAATGTAAAATTAGCTGTTTGTATATTCCTTAAATTTTTAACAGACAACCTTTGAATCAAGTCTTTAAAACTAACAGCAATGTGGTTTCCCTGATTGTAAAATTAAACCTGTTCCCTGCATAGGACTTGGGAAATACGAAGAACACAAAAATCCAATAACCCTTACCTAATCTACCAACAGCAACACCTGCTAACATTTGAACTTCTCTTTTATGACTATTTCACTTTCTATATAATTTTGTAACCTACATTTTTCCATTGGTATTAATGAAAGACATTAATAACACCTTCCTGTGTTATTCAAAGGTTTTCAGAAATGTAATATTAATGGCTTCATATTATTCTATTATGTGATATGCTATTATTATTTATGTAGTCATTTCTCACCTATTGTGTAGTTAGGCGATTTCTAGATTTTTGCTATTATAATTAATAATCTAAAAAATATTTATATATGATCATTTTGTTTTGCCTTCTTAATTATTTTCTTAGGAAAGTGCCCAATAAGTAGAATTACTACATCAAATAAAATGAATTTTTAAAAAGCTATATCCTCATTTTAAAGGATTTTTAAAGGAATTGTTGGGTCAAATTATCTTGGGAAACTTTGCCAAATTTCCTATTAGAACGAAAATGTATGCAGAGAAAAAACTTCAGCGGCAGATTTTTCCAGCAAATGGTGCAGTGGAGGCAGAAAGAGAGAGGAGACAAGGGACGGGAAGAAAAGGGAGGGGGAGGGAAGGGGAGGGAAGAGAGAAGAAGGGAGGAAAGGGAAGAAAAGCGGGAGGTGGGAAAGGGATAGGAGAGGGGGAGGGGAGGGAAAAGATCTCTCATTCAGAAAAAAATTTATTTTTTGAAGGCCATGGTTACCTAGAATTTTAAAACATTTTTGAGACAAATACAGGTAAATAACATCAGGTTTCCCTCTATCTAAATGCCAAAAGAAATACCAGGGATTTTAGCTATTGAAACTCTATAATTTCTCTGACTTGGAATTTAAAAATTCTTGACAACTGTAAAACTAAAAGGCATATATGATGTTTCATGAAATTTGAAGATGGGGGGCACAGAGAGGTGATGACTCCCCCTTCAATGCCCTCATTCCCCTCCGCCCCGTTTTCAGGAGTTGGGGACAATTATTGGTTCTATTGTGATGTTCTGGCAAGCACTGTGAAACAGAATCTAAGAAGGGAGCAGGGGAAGGGAGGCAATCCCCAAGCCCTGCAGGGAGCTGGGGAATGGGCTACAGGTATTAGAAACCATGTGTGCAACAGGGAGGCTTAGACAAGCACTGGCCTGCTGTCATTGCTTCTCTACCTGGTAGAGGCAAGTATAATTTCAGAAATTGAAAGATAATGGTTGCTCACTCAGACTCCAAATGGAGATGGTCTCTCTGAGACCAAAAAATATAGTTGCCCAGAGAGAGTAATGATTGAGGGTGAAAGAGGAGTTGAGTTCTCTGAGAGACCTGATAAAGTAAAAGAGGAAACTAGAATGAAAACATGCATAAATCACAAAAGCTTTGCCCTGAACTCTGGTGTCTACCCGTTCTGTCCCAGCCATATTTAGCTACCAATTTAAATATCCTGCTTTCCCAGTCTTTATTAGATCTGCAGTCTGTCCTTGAACTTTACCTTTTTGGCTGTACTGGAATCACATTGTTTATCTCAAAGCAGTCTTCCTCTCCCCACCTAGAGGGGGAATTAAATCCCAGGATCCTTTGCACTAATTCAGATGGCCCTGGAAACCCATTACCACTCACTGCCATGATGCTATGTGTGGCCATTCACTAGAAGCCCAGTGGCCACAACTGGCCCTGCCTTTTCCAATGTCAGCACTGATGTGGATCAAAATGGAGTTTGTTATGTCATAGACGGGTCCTTTAGATTTCAGGACCTTTCCTAGAGAGGTTTGATGCCCACCTCCTCTCTGGAGCTACCTCATTACACTCGCCACATTTCCTCCCTAATTCCTGGGAGCCTGCAGTGTCCTGAATGGTCAAGGGTGTTACTTTTTTAAAAAACTGGCGGAAGTCATAGTTTCAATTGGACACCAATAAAGAATAATTCTCAACATAAAAGCACATGGTACAAGCACAAGACATTGTTACTATTATTGTTGCTGAATTAGAATGAGGATCATGAGACAGAAACACTACCAAACTTAGACATTCAGTCTATCAAGCGTTGATGCCGTCAAGGTAAGGTGACGTTTCTTAACTCACAGCCGTGTTTCTTCCCTCAAAAGGCTATATATGTGGGCAAATAAGACTGATTCAGAGGTAACTAAAATATAAAATATTAAATAAAATGTTTCACATAGGTTGGACAGATATATCCTACAGGAGACAAGAGGAGGGACATCCTGCCCAGCAGTGATAAACGATCAAGGAAGACCTCAGCACAGGGCAATTGAGTTGGGCCTTGAAGATTAGATAAAATTTTTAAACAAGATGATAAAAAGAAAAGAGAAGAAAAGAAATGAACTTTCAGGTAGAAGTTGTATGACAGAAGCATGGAAGTCAAATGTTGCAAAGTGCTTTGGGTTAATGACAGACTAATTCAACTGAAGTGGAGTTGCCTGGAAGAAAATGAGAATATGTTGAACTTGATGTGAAAATATAATGATTAGTTGGAATGCCTGACAAGAAACTTGAGAATGGAGGTTAGAAAATGACAAGCCAGGAATCAAAGAGACAGAATG